TCCTCCAGAACTACAGTGCCATCCCGGATCTGACCTGCCTTCCTTCTGGCTGCAAGTGTCAGTGATTCCCAGATTTTTCAAATGAAAAATCAGGAGTCTAGAGCCCTGCCGGGCTTCTCATTAGCACTGGACTAGCTAAATGCAGACCACATCTTAAATGCTCCAAAACAATGCCCTGAGCAAGGCTGCAGTGGGTGGCTGGCGCCTGTAGTTTCAGCTACTCAGGACGCTGAGATCTGAGGATGCAGGTTCAAAGCCAGCCCCAGGCAGACAAACCTGAGAGACTCTGATCTCCAATGAACCCACCACCAAGCCAGAAGTGGAGCTGTGAATGCTGTAGTGGCCTTGAATGAAAAGGCTAAGGGGCAGTGCCCAGGCCGTGAGTTCAAGCCCCCAGCATTGACACAAACTCAGTAACTGAAGTCACACTCACAGCATCCAGAAGGCGAAGATGAGTCGCAAGGTTGCGTTTGCTTGCTCTTCCCTCTTCCCTGATGAATGAGGTAGAAGGGAGCTGGGGCTTCCTACAGATCACACCCAAGTGTGCTCCTGGGGGGTGTCTGGGTGGGTAGAGCCGGGGGGGCCCCCCGGGACGGGCCCGGGACAGCCGGGACGGTGGTGGCCGGCTGCGGGCCTCGGCCTGGCTGCGTCCTCGGCCCCTCCCGCCCGGGCTGCCTCCCTGCCGCCGGCTCTGTTGTATCAACACCGCCTGGGAAGGAAACCTGCCGCACCAGCCCGCCCGGCTCGGCCCAGCCGCACCTGCCCAACCTCCGTCCCCAACCGGGAAGCCCCAGGTGGGCCCTGGGGGGGGGGGCGGGAACCGGCCCTCGCGTGGGCAGCATGCTGGAAGACTTAGCAAGCAACCCCAAGCACCCTTTCCATGGTAAGAATGGGGTGTGGCTCTAGGGGGCGCCCTCGGGGGACCCCCAACATGAGCTGCCATCCTAGGAATCAGGATTTTCTAGAACTCCAGGCACTCTCCAAGGCAAATTAGATGCCTGATTGTTTAAAAAACAAACAAACAAACAACATTGTTTCCCGGACCTGTGACTCCTTCCTGTCAACCCAGCTACTCAGGAGGCTGAGATCAAGAAGATCTCAGTTTGCAGCCAGTTTGAGCAGAAAAATCTGAGACTCCCTGGGGCCAGCCAAAAGCTGGCCTGAAGGCAGGGATGTGGTGAGACACCCCGGAGCAAGAAAGCCACTCAGAATCAACAAACAAACACACACACAACGCATGTAATTGTAACCCCTCTGTACAGTATGTTCACAAATAAAATTAAATTAAATTTAAAAAATATATATAAAAAAATAAAAAAATCCAGCTCCGCCTGCAGCCCAGGCCGAGAGACACGGAGACATTGCTCAGTGTGTTACTTATGCTTTACCTCTTCAGGACTAATGTCTAGTTATTTTTCAGGGGAGGGTACAGAGAAAGCCAAACACGCTTTCTCCTCCAAGCTGGAGGGGGGAGGGGGATAAATAGAGTGGCAGCAGTCGTAAGCGTTGGCATGAAAGAATCTTCCAGAACAGCAGTGTGTGTGGATCCTCTGGGAGCACCCACTTGGGGTATACAGTGTACCCCTAAATGATCAGCTGCTCTTGGTGTTCTTGTTGTTACCAGCATGTGGCTGAGTGTGGTGGGTCACACCTGTAATCCCAGTTCAAGGATTAGAGCTCAAGGACTAACCAGGATCAAGGTTCAAATCTGGGGGAGGGGGGAGTCATGAGACCCTCTCTGAAAAATAACCAAAGTTAAAAGGACCTGGCGTATGGTTCAAATGGTAGAGAGCTTGAGAAGCATGAGTTTTAAGCTCAAACCCTTCTACAACCAAATACACACACACACACACTTCTCAAATTCTTAAAATTCAGCAGTAATTACTTAATAATGAATATCCCATCAAGGAAAAACAAAAAAACATTCTAAGTTCTAAACCTCCTTTTACTGTGCAAATAAAAGAAATGAAAAGACAAGCTAGAATCTGGAAGAACATGTTTATAACCACTTATAACCAGACTTTGGAGAGTGCTCAAAAAATAACCGGATAGAAAATGGTCAAAAGGCTGAGCGCTGGTGGCTCACACCTATAATCCTAGCTACTCAGAAAGTTGAGCTCTGAGGACCCTGGTTCAAAGCCAGCCAGGCAGAAAAGTCCCCATGAGATTCTTATCTCCAATTGACCACTCAATAACCAGAAGTGGAGCTGTGGTTCAAGTAGTAGAGAGTTAGCCTTGAGCACAAAGAGGTTCAGGGGCAGCACCCAGGCCCTGAGTTCAAACCCTACCACTGACCAAAAAAAAAAAAAAAGAAACAAACAAAAGAAAAGAAAAGTTAAAAAAGAGAAAAAAGCCAGGCACCAAT